TCTGGGCAGGAAGGGCCGGGGGTGGCTTTTGATTAGCACTTCCCTGTTTGCTGGGAGCTGCTTCATTAACAGTTCCTTAGGACGGCTCCGGGCCTTGGGGACATTAACATTTCARTTTCCCCAGGTGCTGCTCTGCTTTYCTGGACTCCATTCTCAATAATGGTYTCCATTTTATTTATCTTACTCGATATGAGACCCGATTTACCTAGCTCCACTGACTACCTATCTGTGAACCTGGCTTCACAAACAAGCCTCGGCTGACACAGGGCCTGGGGGACACCTTATATCTAAACCACAGCACACAGTTTCCCTGTTTCTTCGGGACTTCATTTCTGAAGGAAGGGTGTCAGTGTCAAACTGTGTCAATGAAACTCACTTAAACCAGTGCGTGTGCTTTCCCTGTTGATCTGGCCTTGGTCACGGGGGCTCCAGGGCCAGCTGAGCTGTGGGTAGGAAAGAAAACRTCTCTCCCTTAGCTGCTAAAACGTTACAACCTGTAGAGACAGACCAGTTTCTGGACGGCCTCATGTGATCAAAATAGACTTGAGAATAAATGGGAGACTCAAATAGCTCTGTGCCAACTGAAGCACTTCAGTGTTAATTAAAAACCTCTCCACAAAGAAAACGGCAGGCTSGGTTGGCATCACTAATACATTCTATCAAATATTTAAGGTGGAAATWTGCAAATCCAACATACATTCTTTCCAAAAATAGAGTAGGATAGAGCACTTCCCAACTCAGTTTATGAAGCCAGTGATATTCCAAGTCCAAACCAGACCAAAAAGAAAGAAAAGAAAAAGAAAATACTAAGGAAAAAAGAACTAAGAACTAAGACTAACTCACCTCATGATGGTGGATGCAGAATACAGCAGATCGGGACCAACTCTGCGATACGCTGCATGGTCCAGCCTTATCCTGGGACAGGAGGCCGGCCTAGCACCTGAAAACCCAGGGTCTTCAGCTCACCATACTAATGGAAGTCCACGTGATGTCTTCAGTTGCTGCAGAAAAATCATTTAAAAATAGTCAGCAACCTTCCATGGTAAAACCCAATGATGTAACAATGAACAGGAACATGCTCAACTTATTAAGTTCACCTGGGAAGCACTCACAGCTGGTGTCAAGCTCAGGGGTGACTTACTGGGTGACTTATTTACCCAGCATGGGAGTGAATCAGAGGCCCCCTCTGACCCTCTCCTTATCAGTTCTGCACCAATGRCCTGAGGTTTGTGGTCACATTGCTTTTTACTGAGAGGATATTGACCTCTTGGGACAAATAGTTACATGCATAAACAGGTGACATTAGATCCCAGGCTCTCACCACATATGCAAGTCATTTCCCAATGAGCCAAGTCCTGGTTTTTGAAAGGAATAATCAAAATTGTTTCAGAAAAAATTCAGGGGAATATCTTTATGATCTTGAAACAGGAAAGGATTTGGTTTCTTAAATAGGATAAACCAAACACTAACAATAAAAGACCATAAAATTTTGGTATATATTAAAATTTTCTACTGATCCAAATATTTCATAAAGAAAATGAAAACTCCAGCTAAGAAAAGACATTTTCAACACATAAAAGTAATGAAAGTGTCATTTATAATGTATAAAAAATCCATAAAAATCAATAAGATAAAAAAACAGCTCAACAGAAAAAAATAGACAAAATAAACCAAAAATTTCCAAACTAAGAAATAAAAATAGCAAAGAAATATCTGAAAAGACTCAAAGTCATTCACAATAAGACCATTTTGCACCTATTGTATTGACGCAAAGTAAGAAAGCGTTAGAGCTTTCTTAATTTGGAGAGGACGTGAAGCACGGGAGCGCTTCACACTGTCCATGCTAGTTCAACTGCCACGGCCACTCTGGAAAGTGACTTATAAGGCCAGGTGTTCACACTCCCTACCACCTGCCACTTCCCCTCCGGGGCATACGTCTAGATAGCCCTGGAAAAGACACACATTTGTACAAAATATGTGAAGAAAAATGTTCATGGCAGAAGCATTAGTCATAATAATAGAACCAGCAGTGATGGACGTCCATTATAATACAGGAACTCCAACACCTTTTTAAAAATCTTTCTCTTCTTTCTTTCCTCTTTTATTTTTTTTGCAACTTTCCCGTGGAACTAATCAACTGACTCTTACRGGCCTTCCAAATCAGAAATCAACAAGTTGTGGTGTAAGGGTAGCTTCACTGAAATGACTGAACCGTCCTCTGTAGACAAGAGCATCTCAGTGCATTTTCTCAAGGGGAAAGAGGGCAGGAATCRTTAGATTTGTACCTGAAAGTACTACCAGAAAAATCAGTGGGAACAATTCCACCCGAGCATCTGCTGAACCACCTGTGACTTACATAAAGCTCCGGAGGAGCAGTCTAGAACCAGGATGGTGCACATACTCCTTTGTGAGCGGGTTTTACTTTTCCTAATAGCTGTTCTCTTGGGTTAACCCCGTCTGCTCGGCCTTTCTCCTTGGCAGCTCTCAGTATGAAAGGCCTCTGCCTTCATCGTGCCCACAGCTCCCCTCTCTGCTCAGGAAGATGTCTTTCCTTCCACCCAGGCTTGCCCTGCCTCTCTACCCAGTCCACTTTCAGAACTCTACTTTCCCACGCACACAGGTGTTTGGACACACATCCACACGCACACTATTTACTATGTGTTTATTAATTTTCTAAGGGAGTAACTGAAATCTTGRTTAATTATATGCAAACACTGGAGCCACTGACAGGATAATGTCAGGTTCCAGGTGTTCATGGTAGCAGAACTGTCAGAACCTCCCAGAATCCAGGAGGGGGCTGTGGTCAGGGTGAGAGCCAGTCCTGCAGCTGGTGCATGGGCAGGTTCAATGCAGGTCTCAGCTACAGTAGATGAATCCCTCCGCTTCTGCTTCCACCCTGTGAACGTGAATTCTTCATCTACTCAATGTCCACTGTGCAATTCTTGCCCAAGAACATTCTAGCACCTTCCACAGACTGTGTGCACGTAGTGCTGGTGCCTTTCTCCTGGAGGGCAGGAAGGGCTCAGAGAGAAGGATCGTAGAGACTCTGCTAGCAGAGAGGGACCCRCTCTCTGAACTTGAAGGGCCTGTGGATAAAAAGCTGCATATCATCCAGAACCATATCGTTCATTTCATGTAAGTGTCCGTCAGAAGCCGGGGCAAGTTGGTTGATAGTTCATGTCTCTCTCTTATTTCCTTCCCTGTAGATAAAGAATTCATCTACAGAGAACGGGAAGGCTCCGTGATACTGCGGAACGTCGAAACAAATGACTCTACAGTGTTAATAGAAGGCAAAAAAATTGTAAGTACTCTCTCTAATGACCAGGATAATTCCAGAGTTTTTTCCTGCTGCAAGTCAATAAAGCAGAAAATGACTTTAGGTTTCCAGTTTTAGTATAGCCAAGGAGAAGCAATAAACTTGTAATACTACAGGCTGGGCAACTAAAGATAATGTGAAATTGAAACGACATTAATTTAATAAGATGAAAGCTGTTTCCTCCAGCGTCCGGGACTCTCTCTGCAGGTGTTGAAGCAAGCACTGCATATCAAATATAATTGGGAGATAAAGCCCTGAGGCTTTTACACATTTACAGAACAATGCAATAATGCCTATAGAGTATTTCCAGAGAACCCTCATTTAAAGAGAGAGACGTGTCCTCGTGCACAGGGAACATTGACTGTAGCCCTGTGACTGTACCTGATGATGTTAAGTGATATTCGTATCTTAAAACAAGGGCCAAGTCAACCAGGGTGCCCCTGCCTTAGGGTCTGGGAGAGCTTTTTTCCCCCAGGATTTCAAATGTCATTAGATTTTGGGTTCATGTGTAAAAACATTAGGACCATTAACTGAAGTTATGTACTAAAGCAGATCAATTTAAAGAAAATCAACTTTTTTTTTTTTTTTGGCTGTTTACAATATGCTCATGCTCAGTATCAGAAGAAGTAAATCTGCTTTGGGGGGTTGACCATTTTCTTGTCTGAGACAATGAGGAATTCACAGGAAGAGAGCAAGGCTAAATCTGTGTAAGCAGTAAACCGATACAGAGCGGGATTCTGAGTCAGAATGGTCATAAAATGTCTCTGCTATGGATCAGACATCTAGAGACCTGGGGGGTCTCCCAYCTGGGACTGGAAGACACCCCAGGAAGAATCATCCAGGGGTTATGGTGAGAGTCCAAGCCCTGAGGACTTTGGGCTTCTCCAAGTCCTGGAGGTGGCTGGTGCTGGGCCGCAGGCCCCTGACCCAGGAGAGGAAAGACGGCCTCAGCTGTGGGCCAGCCCGGTCCAGCCCCTGAGGACTGCTTCCCTCCACCGCCTCCCACAGGACACTGAACTTGCGCTCCACGTACATTTACTTCACTTCTTTTTGCTCCTAAAGATGCATTTACCGAGGTCTGCACTRAACAGTCCTGCCTTGTGAGAAGCTCACGTGAGGGAGACCGCTCAGGGCCGGGTGACGGTGCCATCCCACACGAGAGCTCCGTTGAACCAAATCCTATTCTGCACACTAAGACCCGGAAAGAGCTAACGTACCTGTGTGTTCTGTTCTGAGTTTTAGTTGTCAGTGTAACTTTACTCTATCAGTATGTGGTGCAGAGAATGGAGCCCAGTGCCTCACACACACTAGGCAGGCGCTCCACCGCTGAGCCACACCCCAGCCCTGGACCTAGGTTTTTGAACTAAAAGTCGTCTTGGGTAGAATTAGTTCCTGGAGAAAATCCCACTCAACCCCCTTGAAAACACCAAGGGGACAGGCCTGCTGTCCCATGTCGCTCTGCCTGTGGAGGGTGAGCACCCTTGAGTGTCAGAGTGCCCCAGACCCTGGGCAAGGGCTGGCTCGGTGGAGTACACAGCTGCACCTAGTGAGGAGACTCGGGAGTCCGACTGCCTGCTCTTCCTGAAATCCACAGCTGGTGACAGATGGTGTACTTTGACTGAACCACCACCGTAGGTGAAGAAAGTCCTCAATTCCACATGAGCTGCCTTATGCTGCATACTAAGTCTTTTTGCCTTAAAATGTCACCTGTGCACTTAAGAAACATTTCTTGGGCACTGGGTGTCTGTAGCCTGATTGGTTCCTGACTCTTCTCTCAAAGCGACATTTAAATGCTCTGGAAACAGACTTCAAAAAGGAATGCCGTCAGGGCCCACAGCACGGGTCGGAGCGGGAGCTTCTCTGATTGCCATCRAGCCGATGGGTCATTTAAATGTCTTGCGCTTTAATGGCTCTGTCTCCAAGTTAAAGCTGATAATCTCCGACAGCCTAGATTGGGCCCTCTGTGAGACCGAGGAGGAACCTCTGCATGCCCTACGTTGTCACAAGCAGGTATTGAGAGTGAGGCAGGCCTTCGGCAGGGTCCAGCCCTCGCAAAACCCTCTGCAGCTGGCAGGTGACAGTGACCCAGAGGACAGGGAGCACAGAACAGTAACTGCCCTGATGACAACCGGCTGGCCTCTTGCTGTTCTGGTCCCAGAAACTGAGCTAAGGTGGCCTGAGCCCCCAAGGCCAACCGTGATGTTCACTGTGGTTTCTAGAACAGCCTGTAGCAAGTGGCAAAGTGGCCAGGACGTGGGACGTTCTGGGGTCCACRGGCTTCTGAAATCTCCCCTGTGGCCTGGCTGATCCCATTCTCCTCCTCAGCTGACACCAACAGGTGGTTCCCACGGTCGATGACTTCATGTCCCCAAGTTCTTTTGTCCCCAGCCCCTTCTAACTCCTTGGCCAGGCAGCTGGGTGGAGGGATGCAGGGAAGCCCAGCAGAGAGCGGGGGACACCCCAGGACRGTGCAGCAGGGGCCGATGCCCAGCGCTGTGCTGACATGGGTGACCCCTGCCTTCCCTGACCCCTGCTCCCGACTGAGCCTCTTCACCCGGCTGTCCTCTCCCGCGTCTCAAGGGTGGAAGCATGAAGTGGTCGCACACTCTGAATGGCGAGGCCTGTGCAGGCACCTGTAGCACTCTGCGATCACAAGGCACCGCTCATGCTTTCCTGGAATGCTTTTGCTTTTCATATTGTTTACTGGAAGTGGACCCTGTCCCCTCCTTACGATCTCCCAGCATCCTGGGGCAAGTGCAGACTTTCCCTCTGAGTCTGCTGAAATGAACTGGCAGAGCAGCAAGTGGGAAAGCAGGTGGGTTTATGAACACGCACGCGGGGGGCCACACACAGTCTCACAGCCAGGGAGGCCAGATGGCTGAGGCTTAAACGACTTCTCACAGGGAGAGGGAAGCCAGGCCTGCAGCGGGGAATAGATGATTTTTAGGGAAACTGGATGAGCCCAGAGAAGGGAAAGTGCTGGGGACAAAGTTCCTCTGGGCTCTGGGTAGATGTTATCAGGTTTCTAGGAGCATCCACGTGAGAAAGGATCGGAGGCGCCATCAGCACCAGGTGGTGACCTTCAGCTCTGCTCCACCTCCCGGCTAGAACTGACCTCTGCTCWGGGGCAGCAGAACTTGGGGCAGTTGTGTAAGGTGAGGACACGCCCGTCCTGCCTCCAGGGGTGCTGTAAGAYGGATGTGAGGTGTGTGCGCGTGCTGGAAGGCCACCCAGGCCACGGGAGGGTTCAGACGGCTGCACTGCACCCGACAACCTGGGTGGGCTCAGGACTCTGGCAGCATGGGTGCTGCGGCTCTATGCAAGACCCAGAAGAGGGCCAGGGCCACAGGCACACGCCAAGGGCACTGCTGGCACAGGCAGCCCGCAGGTCCAGGCCGCGGTAGCAGGGTGACAGCCCTTCCTGTGGGCTGGGTGAGGTGGCTCTCCAGAGGGAGGGGGCTTGTCAATGCTGGGACTGATGGCAAGAGGCAGATCTCAACAACCAAATCCAAATAGTCAAACCCAACCCAGCTTCCCCTTGSACCCACATTTGATGTCCCAGAAATTCCCGGACATCGTGTTTCATCTTACTTACAAAGTCATTGAAGTGTCCAACTTAAAGAGATCTTATTTTCATGCCTCCTGTAGACTCTCTTGTCAACAAATTAGCAATTATAAGCAGGTCTTTGTTGTGTCATATGACTTTTTGTATTTTTTTGTTGGTTCTGATTAGTTATCCATGACAGTTGAATGCATTTGACACATCTTACATGAATGGAGTGTAACTTCTCCTTCTTCTGGTTGTACATGATGCAGAATCCCACAGGTCATGTACTTACATATGTACATAGGGTAATGGTGTCTGATGCATTCTCCYATCCTTCCTACCCCGTACCCCTCCCCTCCCTTCACTCCCCTCTTCCCTAGCACCCCTCCTCCTATTGTGAATTAACATCTGCCTATCAGAGAAAGCATTCGGCCTTTGGTATTTGGGGAATTGGCTTATTTTGCTTAGCACAATATTCTTCAGTTCCATCCACTTACTGGCAAATGCCCTCATTTCATTCTTCTGTAAGACTGAGTAATATTCCATTGTGTGTATGTACCACGTTTTCTTTTTTTAMATTTTTTTAAACGTTTATTTTATTTGTCCATTTTTTTTTTTTTTTGTGGTGCAGGGGATTGAAACCAGCGCCACGTGCGTGCTAGGCGAGCGCTCTACTGCTGAGTCACAGCCCCAGCCCCCCACATTTTCTTTATCCATTCATCCATTCCATGAAGGGAACGTAGGCTGGTTCCACAATTTATTGTGAATTGAGCTGCTGTAAACAGAGATGTGGCTGCATCACTATAATTTGCTGGTTTTAAGCCCTTTGAGTATAAACCTAGGAGTGAGGTAGCTGGGTCAAAGGGTGATTCCATTCCAACTTTTCTGAGGAATCTCCATACTGCTTTCCATAGTAGTTGCACCAATTTGCAGTCCCACCAACAGTGTATGAGTGTGCCTTTTCCCCACATCCTCACCAACATTTATTGTTAGTGTATTCTTGATAATTGCCATTCTGAATAGAGTGAGATGAAATCTTAAAGAGGAGTTTTGATTTGTATTTCTCTAATTGCTAGAGATGGTAGACATTTTTTCATATATTTGTTGATTGATTGTATTTGTTCTTCTGGTAAGTGTCTGTTCAGTTCCTTTGCCGATTCATTGATTGATTGATTTGGGTTGGTTTTTTGTTTGTTTGTTTGTTTGTTGTTAACTTTATTGAGTTCTTTATATAGATTAGTGCTCTATCTGAGGTGTGTGTGGTAAAGATTTTTYCCCATTCTGTAGACTCTCTCTTCATGTTCTTGATTGTTTCCTTTGCTGAGAAGAAGCTTTTTAATTTGAATCTATCTCATTCATTGATTCTTAATTTTACTTCTTACACTTTAGGAGTCTTATTATGGAAGTCAGGGCCTAAGCTGACATAATATAGATTTGG